GCTAGATACTAGAAACACAAAAACGGGAATTCTCATTCAGAAAAGAGACAAGACAGTGCTGAGTCTATAATGCTAGCACACGGGAGGCTGAAGCACAAGGAATCTCAGTTCAAGCCCAACCTGGGCTACCTAGGGAGTACTTGCCAAAAAAAAAAAAAAAAAAAAAAAAGCCAGATATAAATAATCCAAATATGACACAGTGGTAGCAGAGATGTAGACAGGGTATCTGGGACACAAAACAGGACCCTTCATACAGAAAAAAATCAGGAAAAAGATTCATTAAGATACTATCATTCTTTTTAGACTTTGCAGACGTTTAAAAGTTTACCAAAACAACAGACTTCCAAGACATGAAATTTGTCCATCTTGATATTTCCTAAACACTGAAAAGAGTCTGGTTGAATATTACAGGGGTACGGTATTAAAGAAGTGATAAGGCCTGCCCAGATCAATAACCACAAATATCAATGCCTCAAAACAGACTTAGCATGCCAGCAAGTGGGTACAGACACTTGTCACCAAGCCTGACAACCTTGAGTCTGACCCCTAGGACCCATGGTGAAAGCCAGCTCCCACAAGCTGTGCTCTAACTTCTACACATGCACAATGGCGTGCAAGCTTGTCTGTGAACACACACACAGGACAAATACTGTAGTAAAAAAGAAAAAGACTCAGAAAACAAAATTAAAATAAGAGCATTAGAACCAAAGACAAATAACAGCAAGATGGAGCCTAAAACTGAGGAGGGAGCTGCAGAAACCAAGCAAACACCAAACTCAGCATGAAGAGCACAGCAATGGAGACCCGAAGACTGAGACGAAAGGGAAGAACTACTGGATGGCTCCAGGCTTCCACTGCCGTTTATCAGTCAAGAGAAAGTGAGGCGAGCAGGACTTGGGGAGAAAGATGACGTGTCTCAGTACATGTTGGCGGGAAGGAGGTATGAGAAATAACAGGCAAAGGAGCGTTCAGGGAAGCTGCTCAGGGAAGGGCGAAACTAAAAGGGGTGAAGGCACTGCACAAATTACCTTAGCAATAATCAGAAACAGAAAACAAAAACAAAAAACAAGATCAGGAGGAGACAAACAACATCAATTTTCTAGACTCAGTCCAAAGCTTTAAGAATATCCTACTAAAGTAGAGAGCTGCTCTCACAAACAGGATAGAGGAACACACGCAAATGACAGTGAGAATAGAAGACTCCAAATGGACAGTGGTCTTAGCAGTATCCTTAACTGCTGAATAACCTGGGTATCCCACTGTCATGCAGCTTCAGAATACCCACCCACACCTCATCCTTCCAGACGTCAATACCCTCGTCACCAGATATATACTAGTATACCTTTTGTCCAAAACATCTCAAGTCTCACAAACTCAAAAAGCAATGAGATCTGGCTGTCAATGTTCCTTCTGAATAGACACTTTGGTAGGCTATGTTATGTGAAGACCAGGGTACTGGGGTCCTTGACACTCTCCAAGGACCGACATGCAGGGAGACCAGCAGGCACTTACCTTAAACTTAGGAACTGGGAGGGAAAAGTCTCTGGTTTTGGACCTGACATGACAGCGGGGATCTTGGAGGTCTTCCACGGGGGTATACTTTGAGTCCTAAAAACGACAACAACAAAAACAAAAACAAAAAAAAACCAGAAAGAGATAAAACCAGACTGAAAACATACCAGGCTATTGAGTTTATAAAGTCCATGCAGAAGCCAACATACGGAAGAGATGGGATAGCTTGCTCATCCTCAAAAAACCAAGCTACAGGTATAGGAAGTCTACGTGTTGAATACTGAACAGGGGAAAATGGGGAGGGGAGACTGGAGGTCCAAATAAGTCAAGAAAAGATCTAGGGCACTCACACTGACACTGAAGTGGACTCCATCATAGCGGTACACCTTCTGAGAAGGCCTGCGCAAAGCAGGGTCCAAAGCAGGATCCACTATGAGCTTGTAGTTCCGCCACTGGAAGCTCGGGGCTTTTTGCCCATCTCCCCCACCTTCCTGGTCCATCTTTGCTCATTTACACTGTCAGGAAAAGAGGGATACAGAATAGGGGTCCACGACTTAGGCCTGACTCCCTTGCTGTCCCCTCAATGGCTAGCCCAGATTCCAGGTTCCCACATGAGTCCAGTTTCCACACCTCAGCATGACCCATGGCTCCCTCAGATCTTGCCTTGAGGACCCTACAGCACTCCATTCCTCTCCACCCCCAATTCTACCCTCAGGGCCCAGGCCCATCTCGCGCCCCTTTACCTTCCCGCTCTCCCTAGCGCGCCCCACTTGGCCTCCACGCAAGACCCCTCCCCCGTCCCCTCGCAGGCCCCGCCCCCTCCCGCCTCCTCACCGGCCAGCGGGCCCGGGCCAAGCCCCGCTCCCGCTCCCACACAGCCGCTCGCGTCCCCGCGCCCCAATCCTCTGGACCAGAGGTGGCACCTCTTCGGGGCGTTGGAAACACCGCGAGACCAAGCCTGAGACCCAGCTTCGGTCCCTGAATCCCGGCGGGGGGCTGGGGGGAGGTAACGCGCGCCGCTGCCCTCTCCTCCCGCCCGGGCGCGTTCGGTGCCCCCCCCACCCCGTCGGCGCGCACGCGCGCCAGGGCCCTACTCACCCGCTCGTGGCGAGCGGCTCACCCTCCCCCCCACCGCGCGCAGCACCTCAGCGGCGTGAGGCGGCGGCGGCGGCGGCGGCAGCGCGAGACCCGGCCCCGCAGCGGTGGCGGCGGCGGCGCCCCCCCACCACCACCTCCCCGGCGCGCGCACCAAACACCACCGCCACCTGCACGAGGCCCAGCGGGCACAGCGTCTGCATCCGCACTTTCGCTACAAGTACTGCGGCGAGATCCACGGGGCCGAGGGTAGCGGCCTTGCCTCGGCCGGCGCCCTGTGAGGCTCGGGAGTTGTAGCCCAGGGAGCCTGAAGATTGGCCGCATTCCCCGGAGAGTGGACTGCACCACCCTTATCCAGCTGCTCCGGCCTTGGGGTTCCTGACGAATCGGCGGCGACGAAAGCTGCGACAAGCCCCTGAGGAAAGAGGGGCGGAGCGAGGGGGGGAGGACGCCAGCCGGAGCTCGGGAGATTTGAGTGGTGCGTCCAACGACGCAGATTCGCGAGGCGGGCGGGGCAAATGAGTGGACAGGATGCGCGCTCCTTAGCTCCTCTTCCCTGCCCCTTCCTTGCGCAGCCCAAATGCCTATGAGGCTGCAGTGCAGATTCGCCACCGTTCTGGGCTTTGGCCGTCACCTCTTCTCACCTGCGGTAGAGTCAAGAAAATGACGCCTGGTTCGCCAAGCCCTGTTGGCAGAGTCGACCGCTATCCCTGGATTTTTCTTGGTAGAACAACTCAAGGAGTAGCCCACTTCCTACTTAGTGCGAAAAGGTTACAAAGAAAAAGTCTTCTCAGCGTTTCATGAAATTTTTCTGACAAGAAAAGCTGCCCAAATAATCCTAAGGTGTCGGGTAGCGAATCTGCGGATCCTCCTGTGGGCGGGGCTAATGAGAGAGGCGTGGCCAGGCGTGCGGAGCACGGCGTAACGGGCCGCTTCCCGTAGAATCCACCAAAACCTGGGAGGGATGGGAGGTGGAAAAATACAACCAGGAGGGGTGACTCAGGCACTTTGCCTACCGACGCACATAATGAAATGATCCGTTCCTTCCCGCTTTTCTACTCAGGCTCCTGTTTTTCAGACAGCATGACATCGAACTTGCTATATAACGGAGGATGGCCTCGAACTCCAGATCCTTTTGCCTCTATCTCCTGACTACTGGAATTACAGGTGTGCACACCATAACCGGTTTATAGCATGCTGGGAAATCTAACTCAGGGCCTTCTGCGTGTTAGGCCAGCACTGTAGTTATACCTCCCTTGGGTGAGTTTTAAAATGTTCGTTTTGGCTCTTAGGGAGGTATAACTAATGGTTAAAATTTAAAGCTGTCTCAGGGTTCTGTTGAGCTTAAAAGAGGCATAAAGACCTTTAAGTGGGTCCTATAAAAAGTAAAGGTCTGAAAGTAACCCAGTTATCCTTGGGCAGTCCTTAGGCAAGGGCTCCCTATGCTCATAGGGTTACGTTGCTAAGCTTAAAGACAGACCCGGTTCAGGCTTCACTTGGGAACCCGGAGCTGAGATTGTCCCAAGGTTCAACCCCCTTTTCATCCGGTGAATGCAGGCTCTCTGGTCTCTGGGAGAACTGCACTCTTGCCAAGTCTACTTCTGAGCTGAAGATGCCTTAAGTGGCCCCTCTACAAGAGCCTCTCATTACAGGATGCTGGGCAAGCCTTTGACTTCCCTTCGTTTCAGGTTATCCCTCCAGAATGGATGGCTATTGGTCACAAAAGACTTACTGCAACCCTCACAATAGTGGTAGGAAAAATTATTGGAGCCTGGTTTTACACATTTTAATTGGCCATTTCAAGTAATAAAAGGAAAGCAATCTATCACCATAAGACTAGACGGTAGGATATATGCTCTAAAATTATGAGGCTGAGGAGGGGGACAAGTATATGAAGGTACAGAAGATGAGGTTCCTTTTTTTCCCCCCAATTGAAGGGTACCAATTCCCTTTCTCTCACTCTTCCAGAAATCCCTAGAAGATGGTAAAGGTAATTGAGGTCATAGACTAACTCTGTGGCTGTGGTCCAGATCAGCCTCTCGGCCTCAGCTGCCTCTCTAAAATGGGAAATTTCAAACCTGTTTATTGAGATGTCTGTGAGGACTAAATGAGAGAACTTATGAATGGTCCCATAAAATGAAAGGATCATTCAAGAAAGAAACTTACATAAAATCCCAAGTTTAGGAACAAGAGTTTGGAGCCCTTAGTCTAAGAATAACTGTTACCACATTCAGTTTATCAGATCTTGTCAGCACCTGATGGACTCTTATCATCCATCAGGTACTTTACTTCCATGAGACCCTTAGACCTTACCCAAGATTTCCCCTTCATCCCATTCACAGCCATAGACCTTACCCAAGATTTTCCCTTCATCCCATTCACAGCCATAGGAATATATGTGAGACATACTTTATTTACAAAACAAGGTGCATCGAAAATTCAGTGTCAGAGCTGGATGGTGGTGGTGCATGCCGCTAATCCCAGCATATGTGAGACAGGTGGGCAGATCTCTGTGAGTTCAAGTTCCTGGTCTACAGAGAGAATTTCAGGACAGCCAGAGCAACAAACAGTGAGACTCTGGCTTGAAAAACAAAACAAAACAAAAAAATCAGTGTCTGAATAAGGGCTCTGCATTCTAAGGGCTAAATGTTCTCCCTTACAAACTCAACCAACCCTTGTCAAGCTAGCTGCACAATCTCTTGGTCTTCAAAGATCTCTCTTCCCCCAGCTCCGCCAAAGACTGTAAGTGCCTAGGGCAATGGGACAGACTAGTCACTAAGTGTGAAGTGGCTCATCTGAGGAGCCCATGTAAAATCTCTCCCAGAATGCCAACTGTAAAGCAGATTACAGATAAGCAAGGGCTGACTGCCTTGGGGACAGAAGTGCAGATGTCACCTTCCTGGAGAGGAGCAAGCAACTGCTCAGCACCAACAAGGACCTCACTCACTAAGGCCTCTTTCATCTAACCCAGGATCCTTGGACTGGGACAGTCTACTTCCTCTTTTGTTCCTCAAGCAGAGTAGCATTTACAAAACCGACTGGAGCAGATGACAGTGATCATCCCTGGGAGTATGGGATTCTGAGCAGGAATCTGGCTTCGACCTTAGAGCTTACAGGAGGTGGCTCCAGTTTAGGGCAAGGAATGAGGTCTGGAGATCCCTGGGGTTTCTGAGGCAATGCTTGCAACAGTCTAAAGCCGGGCTTACACAGCCTGCAGCTCCCCCTGCAGGCGACTGAGTTCCTCCAGCTCCTGCTTGTGGCGGTCGGTCTTGTGGGCCACCAAGGATCGGTAGAAATGTAGGGCAAAGGCCATAAACACTAGTCCCACAGGTACCATGATTGCCGTGGAGGCCATAGCTGCTTGCCAGCCTGGTCCATGAGCACTACCACAGACTTGCCGGGGTGGACAGGCTTTGGAAGGCTGCTGTGATGTGGCTATGGAAGCAGAGGATGGTGTCAGATTAGAAGCTAAACTAAGGGACACAGTCACAGGTGGCACCTGGGACATAGGTACCACAGGAGCTGGTTTGTCCATGGGTGCCCCAATGGGCACAAACTTGACCCAGCCCACCAGAACTACTTCAGCCAGGAAGAGAAAAGTGCCCAAGGCAGTAGAGAAGCCCCAGGCCAGCTCCACATATCGGTGGAGTCGTTGGTGTGGTGACTGATGGACAGAGTTGAGATTGTGGATGTTGCTCACGGCTTCAATATGGGGCAGCAGACATGTAGAGACCATGAGTGCAAACAGGTGCACAGCTACTAACACAGTGGTGCAGGCACTAAATGCCACTAGCAGGCCTGGTGGGTATTCATGATCATTCTCCAGCTGTACCTCCACCATTGCCACCTGTGGGCACAAGAAGGAAGACACTGAATCCCTGTAACATGTCTTCATCAGGCGTTTTGCTTTGCCTGTTTAGAATCATAACTGCACCATCCCTAAAACTTAGAGCAATGCCTAGAAGAAGATACTCAGCTCTCCCAACCCAGCCCCCTTTTTGGTAGTGTCTTGCTCTTATAATTTAGGCTAGTCTGGAACTTGCTGCATAGTGCAGGTTGAGCAGAAACTTGCTATCCTCCTGCCTAAGCTTTCCTGAGTGATTTCACCTCTGTCTCAAAGGGGCTGGCTAACATTTTTCTGAGCTTTTACCTGGTTATAACATCCTGGCTAATAAGTACAGACTCTGGCTGGGAATGTAGTTCAGTGGTAGGACCCTTAGCACTCACATCACCCTAGGTTTAATCCCCAGCCCATAAAAAATAAAAAGCAGACTCAGGCTGGTGTGGTGCTCCATGCTTTCCAGCATGGGGAAGCTCAAACAGGAGGATCTCAAGTTTGAACGTAGCCTATGCTTCTCCCAATGGTTGAAACTTCATCTCAAAAGAACCCAAAACTGCCTGGGGTAGTGACACATGCCTTTAATCCCAGAACTAAGGAGTACCAAGCCAGCTAGGGCTACGCAGAAACCCTATTTAAAAAAAAAATAAAAGTGACGATAGGTCCAAAGCAAGCAAAATCTCTGAGCTATTTGGGTCCATTCTTAGTTCTACAATTTGTAATTTCCTCCCAACAGCCTATTAGTCCAGACTTGCCTCAAATTCACTACCCTCCTACTTCAGTGCCCTGAGTAGGGTTACAGTCAGATGACCTTGAACAATTGTGTAATCTCTGAGCAAGTGCCTCAATTTCCTACCTGAAAAAATGGGGACAGTGGTCTCATTAAGAAAGTTAATACTAAACACTAAGTTCTATGACTAGAGCCAGGTACGGACTTTTAGAGTTGATGCTAATGTCTAAGGCACAAAAAGAGAAAACCCAAAGGTAGTAATTGCCAACTCTTAAAATTCAAGAAACTTCATGTTCCCAAATCAATCTACAAACTTGTCATATCTAGTCACACCAGGTCTGCATTCAAATGTGCCAGCTATCCAGGATGAATCATGGCTGTTCATCCTCAACAAGTCAGGGAGTCTCTTAACCATGACTTCACCCAGCTAGCCTGCACTCTGCAAACATCTGTGTTAATGGACAAATTTGGGATTTAAAGCCAGGCTGCTAAAGTCGAAATCTTGTCACTAGCTTGCTGTGCTGTCTACCATGCCTTAGCATCTCGGCCCTTTTCTTCTATGAACAACTGCCATCCAGTAATATACCAGGTACTGAACATTGAATGTCTGTTAAGATAGGATTTCATGGAGCCCAGGCTAGCCTTGAGTCTTTCAGTAGCCAAGGACAACCTTGGTTTTTTATTTCTACTTCAAGTGGTAGGATTATAGGGGTGCTCTACCATATATATATAATGGAAATTGAACCTAGGATTTCCTGAATGGTAGGCAAATACTCTACCAACTAGGTTAGATTCACAGCCTGTGAATATGATTTGTATAATGTTATTTTAACTTCAGGCCACCTGGGTTTAAGAGGATTCCCCCCGCCCCACTTTGGTTTCTTAAGGATCCCTGAGATTACTCTGGGGCTAGAAGGAAAGGTGCAGGAGTGCAGTAGTACTTAAAATAAAATTGAGTATTTTGGGGAATTGGGCCATGGCAGATAATAGGCAAGTGTGTTCACAAACAGAGATCTGGGCCAGGCTTAATTCTGGTGTCTCCCAGGGTCCAACCCAGGGTTCTCTTGTCAGGACCGGGGTGGGGGGGGGCAGACCTTGGGGCAGGCCTTGTTCCCAGAACCTACATGTTCAGCCTACTGATCCTCAGAGCAAACTCTCTTACACTGTCACCCCAAGGATCTGCAGCTTCTGCAGACTGCATTGTTCCTTTAGAAGCAGGCAGAGCCATGCGACTCAGACAGAAGTTGCTGTGCCCTTTTTGTGGTGCTGGGGGGGGGGGCTGATTCCTTGCAGTCAAGTGTCGTCCTCAAGAACTATGGGGATGTTCTGGGGGAGTCTGAGCCCCTTACAAGCACCACAGACCAAGAGCAACCTTTAGGACTACAGATCCTTTCATTCAGATATTGAGGTTGCAGACCAAAGGTATGTATTGACCTAAGCTACTTGTATAGGACTTCACCTTAGCTCCCTCCAAGGTCTACTTATACACGGGTACATTATGAAGGCCTACTCCCAGGCCTGCTTTCTCCTCCAAGTGTGAAGAAAACTTAAAACTAGGAGAGGTTCACTCCACACCCATACCCTGCTGAGAATCCTTGTTAAAACAGCAGCTTCCACCCAGTCTGGTTAGCACATTGTTCTAGAACCTCTTTTGCTAAGTAGAGTTTGTTCTAACACACCTAGTTCTGGGGGTCTTCTTAAGAATTCCAGATCCTCCCGGACAAAAGCTTGGCACACCTAAAGACAACACCTTCTATGATCTCACAACTTCCTACAGATGGCAACTTCCTACAGATGTTGGCTTGGGGTCGCACAGCTGGCCTTGTAAATAGGAAGGAATCAGGACACATCTGGGCCGCCGCACTCTGGAATCTTCTTAAGTCCCACCTCCCAGGGCCACTGCTGGGACCGTTAGCTGACATTATCCTCCCACACCTGCAGTTTATCAGACTTTTATCAGCTAGCTCCCTGATCAGCTTCCTTCTCTAGCAGCTTCCTCACTGGTTTTAGTTTTCCCGGCAATTCTAGCATTCTGTGCCTTTGAGGGTGAGTCCTTCAGTAGGGTGACTCTTCCATACCCTATCCCCCTTCCCCAATCTAGTTGATATAGGCTTTCATTCAGCTCTGCCTTTCAACTCTCGAGGACTTGGTAACTAAGCTACTTCTAAGGTACTTCGGTAAGAGACTTTCCCCGCACCAGTTTGCATCTGCTGAACTCTTCACTCCCTTCTTTCACTGCACTTCTGAGGCCGATCTTGAGTCCGTGCCTACTACAACCCTGTCCCTGACACAGAGGGCTTTTCCAGTTCCTAGGGATTTCGCTCCTTCTTTTACCCTAAAGAAACCCTTTTACTCAGTCCTGTACTGGGGACCCATTTTCTTGACTTCTCCCACCAGGTGCTTCACCCACCCCGTGTACCCGCCTCCCACCCCTCACCATGGCGAAGCCCGACAGCAGAGCAGATGTGCGGCTGGAGGCTTTGAGCTTAGCCCGGCTGAGGTAGAGGCGGCGCCAGCTGAGCGCCCGCAGAGAGTGCTGACTGGCCCCCATAAGGTCCAGGTAGCCGCGGTGCACGAACTCCCGGTACGTGGCAGAGCCCGCGGGGCTGTCCACCTCCGGGTTCAGCGGGGCCTGTTCGCCCGTGTCCCCCTCGCAGCCCTTCATCCTGAGAGTGGCTACACCACAAGCGCTGACGGTCAAGGAGGGGCCGAGGTGCCTTGAATCCCCAAGAAGGGACGGCCCAAACGCAGGCGGGACCCCATCATGGGCAGACCCAGCGGGAATAGTTACCGATCCGTCTAGAAGGCCCAGGGGCCGAAACAGGAACTGGGGCAGGGGCGGAGCCCGGTGACCACATGATTGGGTGGAGCCGTGAGACCGAACCCCTGCAGTCTGCCCAAGGACAGAGATATCAAGGGACCCCCCCCCTTAACCCCGACCCAGGCCACCAACGTGAATGACCAGACACAGCTACTGCTGGGAATTTGCTGGCCTCAGACCACCCAGTGTATACCTGGACATTCACAGGTATCCAGACTTCCACACTCCTCCTTGAACAGTCATCTCAGGAAAAGCAAGCCCATTTCCCTCCCAAAATGACCATAGGAGCCCCTTCCACCATCCCCACCCACCACTCAGACTCGACACCGCAGACAGACACAGAAGTCAGCGGCCCCGGCTAGATTCTGAGTTTTATAGCAAACCTTATTGTACAGACTTGAGGGGTTAGGGTTCCAGCCCGGCTGGGTCCCCCACTTGCCGTCTACCGGGGTGCCTACTCCCCTCCCACAAGCGGCCTCATCGTCAAGCCTTTCTCCAACCCCAGGCCCCCCCACCCTGCCTTTGGTCCGCCCAGCCCCCGCCCCCAACCCGCGCACCTTCCTGTTACCTGAGGTATGTGGATAGATTCCCCTCCCCCCACCCCCAATGGTACAATCCAGTTCCCCCTGGCCTAAGTTGAGTGGGACCTAGACCCGACTCCTCCCTCAGGCTCTTGAGACCCCACCCCCACACTGGGAGAAGGAAAGGAGTGGGGAGAGGGGAGGTGCCAAGAGTCTTGTTACTAAGTTCCCACAGCAACTAAGAAGGACCGTTTCCAGTCTTAGCACTGATTTCCGGAGGTGTCCATTGGCTGCTAGTTCCATGGCAACCAGGAGTGGCAGTTCCCTGGGCAAATGGAACACAAGCTTCTATGACGATGAAAGAATGGGAAGAGCCAAACTGAAGGAGTCCCATCTTGCCCATCTTTAAGCTGACATTCCCCCACCCCCAACTCAGGTCGGAAGGGTGGAGCTGTTCAAGACAGTAAAGCAAGAGAGCTGGGGGTGGGACAGTCCAAACTGGGTACCCACTAGCCCAGTCTCAGTCAAGCTGGTCCCCTCACATCACACTCCCCCAAGTCCGAGATTCCCCCGGTTCAAGTAACACTTCAGTACAGATGAATGTTCAAGTATTGTGTAGAGAGCCAGGCAGGGGTCTGGGCTACCCCTCACCACTCCCCTGGGCCACCAAGCTTAACAGCAGGTAGACCCACGGCCCCTACTCCTTGCAATAGCTGCCATTTTCAGTGACGTTCAAGGAGTCAAGGTTGGGGAAAACTGAAATCTGGGTAGAGGGAAAGGGAGAGAAGTAACCACACACAGAGGGTACTATCCCCACATCTGTTCCTCTCCCAGCCCCAAGTCCTGGCATTTCCTGGCTTGTAGAGCCCCCTATCTTGTCACCCGGATCCCCAATTGCTCTTCTGGTTTCCCTTTTTGGCCCCCCATCCCACCCAACTGGTCTTTGTTCCCTGAACCCTTGTTGGTCTGATTTCTGCCCTCCCCACACCCATCTAACGCCTCCCCCAGCCCCCAGTATCCTGTGTGCAAGATACCATGTCACCTCATTTGTCCCTACCTAAGACTTGCACCTTTACCGCCCCTCCCCCACCATCCCTTTGGCTCAGCACCTCCCCAGTACCTCTTGACCCACTCCCCCAAGGGGACGGACAATGAAGCAGGTGAAAGGGAGAGATGGGAAGCAAAGACCCCCAGAGATATCAGTGCAGGTGAGAGAGAGGGAAGGCTGGCTCAAGTCCCTGGGCAGGAATCCCAAGTCATTAAACTGAGGAGTGCCAAGTCATGAAGAAAATAACCTGGCCTCCCAACAGGGGGTGAAATGAAGGCAAGAGGTCCAGGTTCTCTTGTTGAGTCCTGGGGGAAGGAGGCACAGGCACCCAACTAGCTGTCCTTGAGAAGCAGTTTCTCTTCCGGGCAGCGAAAGGGGCCGGGGGGCCCGGCAGCCGCCAACCGGGCACAAGCTTCAGGCGAGAGCTGGCGGCAGGAGCGTAGGTCCAGGCGGCGAAGACGTGGGCATCGACGGAACAGTGGAAGGCAGTGGTCCGTGAGGCGGTGGCACCCTGGGGATGAGACAATGGCAGCTGAGACTAGACAGGTGAGTAGGTAGCAGGGGGTGGACAGGGGGTACTTCCACCAGGCAAGCAAGGCAGACAGGGGATCGCACTTACCAGCGAGATTGAGGTGCACCAGTGTTTCTCGGAGAGGGGAAGTAGGAGCCGTGAGGAGGTGGACACTAGGGTCCCCAACGTGGGCGCAGTGACTCAGGTCCAGGGCACTGAGCTGGGGAGCATGGCGCAATAGGAGCCTCAGGGAGGCATCAGTGAGCTCCAGGCCTGCTAGGCGAAGTTCGGCTACCCCCTGCAGTCGACCTCGACTCTCTGTTTGCCCTAGGCAGATAAAGTAGCATTAGTGGGCCCCTCCTAGCTGACCCTCATGCTCTTCATTATCTGCTCCACACCTGCTCCCAACAATGAGTCCCCCCTGCTGCTGCTGCTGCTGCTCCAAGTGACTGGCTTCTCACTACACCCACAGCACCGAATGGCATCTCATCTGACCTGCTCCTACCCCCTCAGGGAAGCCTCCCTGGAGAGCTCTCAGTCTCAGCATTCCTCAGTCCTAAGCCCCCAGCTCCAGGATCTGATACACTGTATATATTTTTCCTTCTGGATCCTTTCCTCCCTCCATAAAAACGTCAGTTCCAAGCAAGCAGGAACTTTTGCTCAAAATGCTCTGTCCCTAGTAGGATCCTTGATGTTTTCACCCATTATCCAATAAACAGCACCCCCACCCCCACCCCATGACTACTGAGGTCGCAGTGCTGACTCAACAGTCTTGCTTGAACTCCCGTGGTTCCTTCTCCACCAGACCCAGGTCTGACTGCAGATGCCCTCCCCACACCCTTGCTCTGTAACTCTGGCTGGACTCAACTGCCTGTGCAGACTTAGTTGGCCTCAAATTAGCAACAATTCTCCTGCCTCTACCTCCCGAGTGCTACAATGCCTGATCTACTTTCTGGTATCAAGGAAACCATTCTCAAACACAAATGGAATAGTATCTTTCCGAAATTTCCTGGTGGTGTATGCGGGTTAGGCTTTTTGTTCTGTTGTTTTGTCAACTTGGTACAAGCTAATGTGTCTTCATCTGCGAAGAAAATGTCAACTTCAAGAATGACCTCCACCAGATTGGCCTGCAGGCTAGTCTGTGAGGGAATGTTCTTTTATGTTCATTTAATGTTCAATTCATGATATGAAATGGCCTAGGTTACTATAGGTAGTGCCATCCTGGGCAGGTACCTGAATACTGTAACAAATGCAAGCTGAGCAAGCCACTGAGTGCAAGACAGTAGCAGCACACCTCCATGGCCTCTGCCTCACTCCTGCCTGAGTTCCTGCCCTGACTACATAATGAACTATATAAGCTGTAAGACGAAATTAATCCTTTCCTCCCCGAAGTCCTTTGGGGACCTCATGTTTCATCACAGCAATATGAAACTAACGAGGCCAGGCTAAGTCCCTGATACAACATTGATCTCTCTGAGGCCCGCCATTGTTTTTTGCTTCAAACCTAACCAGATCCCTAAACACTGAGGCTACATTCCACAAGTGGCTCTGTCCACAAAACCCTGATGGGAGGATGACCTATGCTCACGGGACTGCTAACCACTGCAGAATGAGTCCAGAGGCCTCCTCCTCCTCCCCTATCTCGGGGAGAAAGAGTTCAGAGTCCTCCTAACCCCCACACTACTGGCTTAAGTCCCTGAGATGGATGGATGGCCCCACCCCAGAATTGCAGCAGACCCAGAACTGCATGAGGCCCAAGAGCTTAGATTTACTTTTCTTCCAAATAATCTTGTGATAACACTGCTGAACCTTTAACTACACTTTAAGAAGCCGAGCCTTGAGGCTCAGTGGTTAACCACATATACCACTCTTCCAGAAGACCTGAGTTTAATTCCCAGGACCCTTATCAGACGGCTCACATCCACCTGTATCTTCAGCTCCGGGGGTATCTGACACCTCTAGCCTATGTAAGTACCTGCATTCATGTGAACATACCCCCACACAAATATATACATATAATTTAAACTAATAAAAATTTTAAAAAGAAAGCCAAGCCTCTATTTGATCACCTCTGCTTACAGATAGATGAGAACACGGGCCGGGCAGTGGTGACGCACGCTTTTAATCCCAGCACTTGAGAGGTAGAGGCAAGCAAATTTCTGACTTTGAGGCCAGCCTGGTCTACAGAGTGAGTTCCAGGACAGCCAGGACTACACAGAAAAATTCTGTCTAGAAAAACCGAAAAACAAACAAACAAAAAAAGAGAGAGAGAGAGAGAACACCAAGGGTCAGATCACAAAGTCACCTGTTCAAGAGCACCTGATTACAAAGCGCTCAGAGCCAGGGCCCCAGGCTGGGGCTGACTCACACTGTCAGCACGTCTTACCGCACTACCATCGCCACTTACCAGCCACTAGCCTGGCTCTGAGAAAAACATCACCAGATGTCACAGCCCAAGATGCTTCCAAAAATGTGCTGTGGCGTGTGGCATCTGCATAGTGCTAAACTCTGTGTGTGTGTGTGTGTGTGTGTACGTGTGCGCGCGCGCACGCACGGAACATAGGACCTCATGCACGTGGGGTGAACCCTCTCCACTAAGCTGTGTTCTCATTTACCTTCCGAGACAAGTGTCTCAAAGTTGCCTAGGCTTGCCCTGAATTCCTGATTCTCCTGCCTCAAATTCCTGAGTCCCTAGGATCACAAGAATGCACAACTAGGCTCCCATTAAAATTTTTTAATTTAAAATTTGTTTTTAAGACAGAATTTTAATGTTTAGCTCAGGCTAGCCTCATGTATCTCACTGCCTCTGTTTCTGGCTCAGAAGCACTGGGACTACACAGTGGGCCACTGCATCACTACACAAGCTTGGCCTATATACAGGGAATAACAGAGAGAACATCTTACT